AAACTGAAGTTTAAGCTTATTGTTTCAGTGAACAACAAAACATGACTAAATACCAAAATTTCGATCAAAGTATAGGTACAACAAAATCAGTAAATTTAAGTTTAGTTTTTAGTCAGTCCGAAGATATTATATAAGCTTTAAGTTTATCACTAATTTTCAGGTCACCTGAATATCTGTACTTTCCGATGTGATATTAGGTCTTCGTTTTTTTTTACGGAGATATGTGATTCACGAAGATGAAGCAAATGACGCGGACCAATGCCACAAACTGCGGCTCGCTGCCCTCGAATTCATGATCTCATTGAGCGAAGCGAAACCGGGCATGGTAAAGAAGGTGCCTAGGCGGGTAGGGGCCGTAGTACGTGTTTGGAGGGTATGGGGGAAAGGTAATTAAGGATGATTTAGAGGAGTGGTTGAAGGAAGATGTAGCTCTTCCCTCTTATCGCTTCCGTCTCAACGTGAGTTGAATATGCGTATGAACACATCGCTGAACACCTACTCTTCTAGCCCTCCACAAACACTAACCCCTCCGAAACTGAATCAGCACCTGCGCTATACGAACAGTCCCTAGATCGTCTCGTGTGTTCGATGTTGGAATGTTGGTGCTACCTCCTGCATTCCAGTGTCGACCTAGGCACTGGCTAGAGAGTAGGAATATACATAATATAATCCCTATAATACCTGTATACCTAGAAAACAAAAGAATAAAATGGCGAGGTGGCCTCACTTCGGTCCTAACAATCTAGAAAGGAGACTGCCAATAGAGTGACGAGGTTTTGAGGGAAAGTGATGAGAGATGGCGTGAGAGGAACCGGAGGACGAAGGCTGAGGAGCTGAATGACGGATAGATGGACTGAGGAGACGAGGAGTGCACGACGGGCACGACAGAGACTGCAGAGACTGAGGAATACTGCTAAAAGAATGCTAAAATAGTCACCGGAGTGCAACTAAGATAGCTCGACGATAAAAAAACCTAAGGACACGAAATAAATTCGCGTAGAAAGACAGGAAGGGAGCCTAGATGATGCAAAAAGAACGAAGTCGATTGGGTTGGTTGTCGTCGAAAGCGTCTCTATTTTGTGAAGAGGACGATTTGCGAAGATCTGAACTCCAATAACTTGAATTTATTTTGTAAAATCGAAGAGATTGAGTAGCGATTGAGTACAGGGGATGAGGAGGAGGAGTGGGGTATTCTTTTACTAATCCACTACGAAGAAAAACTACTGTCTTTAAGTATGTAGAAAGGTCTCAACAAAAAGAAGTAAAGTAGAAGTAAAATGTACAAAAATGAAGTAAAAATGGAAACATAAGCGGCTGTAGACACCAGACTCGCTCATGGGACTCGATTCATGTGGATAGAACTACTCCTATGTCTAATAAATACTTATGTTGTCTAAAGAAAATGAGAAAATGCGAATCAAATCAAAGAAAATGAAGTATTTTGTGATAACATCCGTTGTTCCGAGCTCAAATAACATTTCGGAACGATTTTGAAGGTTCTTGATGCGTTCCGAATCATCCCCGACGATCCCTGGTCGAAAATAGACATACTGAAGTTGATTTAGCGGCATAAGGACCGAGTTTCCGAGTACAGAGCCGTGCGAGGCTCGTCACCAGGTTCGTCTTCCCCTCTATCTTAATTAGTCCATTATTCTGAAGCACATTAAGCTTTATCACGATAGTACATAACCTCGATGGTGGTGAGCTATGACTCGCACGTATGTTATGCGGGGCTTATGGCCATTGCGGCTATTGCTGAGGGCACTGGGAAGGTTTGCTTGTGTCCCTACGTTTCTCTGCTGTGTTGCGCTGACACTTCGCGTTAGGTAATGTAAATCGAACTAGGAAAGATCATCGAGTACGTTCCTGTCGTTTCATCCTTTTGGACCTTAGGAGAGGACAACAAAGCTCATCAAGCTTCTCTTTTTCTCCATACTGTATGGCCCCATCGATGTTCACCGACTTGCATCCATGGGTGCGGTATGCAGCTTATCAATGCGTGTACGTCCCTTCGTCTCTCTTTCGCTAATTATACCTGAGATTGATGATTTTGGCGGTATAGTGGCCAGCTATGCACGATCTCGAGGAGATCATCCAAGAACGATATCACCAGCAGCTGTTTGCTGCGCTTATACTCACCTTGGAGGATCCCAAGTCCAGGTTTGTCATCTTCCCCCTCTCCTCTCCGCTTTCGCTAACCGCCCCAATCGATAGATTCCACTCGCATGCAGCAGCAGTCCTTATCAACTTCTGCGAAAGCGTCGACCAGGACACGCTCATCCCGTGCCTTGACCCTGTCGTTGAGCGTCTTTTGAAGCTCTTCAATCTCGTCGGCGACCAGTCCCAGATCCGGAGATACGTCCCGGAACAAGCGATCACGACGCTCGCGATGGTTGCGGATGGTAGTGCAACTTATGCTGTGGTAAGTTTGTGCTTTCTGTTCTTGGTAGAAGACGGTGGCTCATGGTATGGCTAGAATGCTATAGTATTACCCTACAATCGTGCATCTGCTGCTAACCGTCCTGCGTGACGCGGAAGAACCTGATTATAAGAAATGAAGGGTCAAGGCGATAGAATGCGAGGGTTTGATTGGTATGTCTTCCTGCTTCTCATTGTAGTTGGAGAAGGCTGATTGTTGGTAGCAATTGTAACTATCGCTGTTGGAAGAAGTGTTCTGAGCCTATTCTAGCACGTCTATTGAGCTACTCATATTGGTATAAAGTACGTTTCTCCTAAGGCATACCAAAGAGCTCCTACTAACGAGCTTTAGCGCAGAGAGCCCTGCAGACCTGAACGATACCGAAGTCTTACATTACCTCATTTTTAGGTTGTACCAGGTAATGTGTCGGGAATTCAAGCCTACCTCCTAGCCATTATGCCTGCCCTTCTCGCTAATGCCAGTACGAAAGCTGATATCTCCGTTTACGGTACGTATATCCTTTCTCCTCTTTCCCCTGTCACATTCTTATAGTTACTGTGCAAATGAAGATGAAGAGAAGAAGCTAGATGACGGACGGGAGACAGCCTCCATGGACGGATAGACACTCGATATCCGTACATCTGCGATCGAAGGAAAATGCCAGGCATTTGAGACATTGGTGATCTACTGCTAAACGCTTGAACCTCGATTCACGCCATACCTCGGCCAGACGCTACAGGTTACGCTGCCATCATTGAGGTTTTCCATCCATGATGGCGTACGGGAAGCATGTGCTCCTCCTTCCTCCCTTTACAAACATTCTACCAGCTCGCCCCGCGTCATTGGCGGGCCTATTGACCTTGCCCTCCACTTTCACCAGAGCATCGTCGAAGTTACTAAGCGCTGGCTGACAAGCATAAACCTAGGCAGAATAAAGCTGCTGGCGATCATGATATCGACAAAAAGGATTTGGCACTGTACGAGGCAAGGGAAGGATTTGCACTTGAGGATATGAGCAAGATATTTTCGACTCTGGACCCGAACCACCCCCTGCTCATGGCAGTCTCACGCGTTCACGAGTTAGGGATTCAATACGCAGGATAGCGAACTTTCTAGTTGTGAGTTGGTATGCGTTTAGGTATCGGAGGCCTCAAATGACTACATATCTGATTATGGCGTATTGGTAGATAAAGCGAAGAAATCTGAGAAAAGAAGAGCTCCAGAACATTCCAAGATTATCAAGATATGGTATGACTCAGTAAGTACTGTACATGTAATATTTGATTAGGAGTCTGAGAATTCCAGTACTATATCTTTTTGACTGGCTAGTATTCCAACAGTGTCATTCCAACGGTGTCATTTCCAGTGAGAATGAGGTACTTATTATCAAGCCACGGATAGTACTCAAACTTTCGAAAATTAATGATAAAAGTGTCATGAGACCTGACTTCCGATACGGGGAATCGAACCCCGAGCTGCCGCGATCGTGTATCCAATTTCATGAAAGGCGGCAATGTTAGCCGTTACACCATATCGGAGTCTTACCTGAAGGATCAACCCCATTCCTCCAGTATGAAAATTCTAGTTTTACATACAATATTCGTATATCTTTTTTTGCAGGAAGCCTATGTACATACGTTTTACAGAAATATTACCAAGTCTCGAAAATAGTAATAAAATAAAGATTAACTTCCGATACGGGGAATCGAACCCCGAGCTGCCGCGATTGTAGTTTATAATAGACCCGTTTTATGAAAGGCGGCAATGTTAGCCGTTACACCATATCGGAGTGTAATCCTCAGTCTGGAGGGTTTCTGCATGTTTATTCCAGATGAGGAGGCTGATATCTTGTATTAAGTACTCAATTCCGGCTATGAAAGCGATCGTCGCTTGAATTGAGAGAGGAACATTGCGAATCCTGCCATTATATATAAGTGTCTGAGCGCGTGATATTGTGGCTTGGTGCGATGTGATATGAGAATACACTGCAAAATCTGAACACTGCATTAAACATTTAAATAGTTTTATTGAATAGAGCAACTTGGCGGGTCATTAGATGGGGAAGTATGATGCTTCGTAATAATGCGAGGAGGATCTGGTTCACCTCAGCACGTATTGAGTAGATTAACGATGAGAACTTGAAAGTTGAGCTGAAATCAAGAATAATAGGACACACCAGAAGTCTGTTTACGTCCTTAATTTCAAGTTGCCATATAATTAAGTGCTCCGAACTCACCTGTTACTTTCCAAAGCCTGAAGATAAGCTCAAAACACAAATCACTTACATGGAACTCTGTGAGCTGTAGTAAAATCTTGAAGCTCTTTCCGACTAGTCCATTCTTATACTGCATTAGATACCAAGCTCGTGCTCGGAGCTGGGACTGTCAGCCTATTGAGCCCAGCCTCCACCCGAGAGGTATTCGAGTACAGTTTGGCGTTTGAAGTTGAAAAAGCAACTCGCAGTAGACTGTAGACTAAGCATAGTGTCGAACTAGGGCTTTCCTCTGAATCGATTGGAAAGAACGCCAATAAATTCAATGATAATGTTGTATTTTTACTAGCGCGTCTTCATGCTGTATCCATTTAAATAATATATCAGCACAAATAGATTTTTCCCCTCTGGTGACGATAGAAAAAGACATATATGCTTTCGTACAGGTCTAGCTGAGAGGCCGAACCAGAACTTTGTTTCTCGAATATTAACTAGCAGGTGTGGGTGTGTGTATTAATTCAGAATGTACTTCGTACATGACATATCCTCCATCGAATGATATTCAAATGCAGATAAACAAGGTGTCGGTTTATGTGCAGATAGCAAAGAATCCACCTACATCCCTGAAAATAGAAATAATCATGCATCGAACTAGGAATTTCCACTCTTGAATTGTCGAAGCGGTCACTGCAGTGAATTTGGTGAGGGGATGCTCATTACAATACTAGGTCGCTGTTCAATGGCCTTCGAGACGTATGAGATGCTAGGTCGAGGCATGAGCAAGTTCCTAGGACGAGGCAATATAAAGAAGAGAACGTCGTCTGTGCTCTCAGTGACATCAAGGTAGATAGCAATGCGCCGTGTAGCTCGTGCAGTAAGGGCGATAAGCCACATCGAGCCGAGCCCCATGGCCAGCGCGTCGAGATAGCCTAGGGATCACAGGTTATATCTTCTGAATGGAGCTTTGCTAATTTGCTAGGGTCAAGACTTTCAATAGACCCAGAGTATCGCCGTTCGAAGTTGGATAAAAGACAAGCCAATGGGCCGATGAACGTTCAGAACAAGATCCACTTCCAATTCACTCATTACAAACGTTGTTCAACTCGGTGACGCAATGTGTTTCGTTATCTTATCTTATCTTCCCCTCATCTATATTACTCGATTCCTCGGCCCGGTCTTATCGGAACTTGTCGACACATGGTAAGGGCGTGCCCCGCGTTTTGCCTCCGCCTCTCCTTATAACCCCCAACTGCGCGTGTTATTCGCCTTCACTTGCTCTCTTCCGATTTCTGCGTTTACTCGGGTTACGAGCGATCTAGTCCCCAACACGTTTGAAGGCTGAACTCCAGGTGAGCTCATCGCTGACGATTAAAGAAAAGGGGGGAAAGAATGCTAACGATGAATGTGGGGAATGCCAGATTGACTGAAGGCTTGAATTCATTTGAGTGCGGGCTAATCTAACCAAGAAGGATCGAACGATAATCGAATAAGAACGCGAAAATGCCCGTTTCCGATGCTGTCCTCACGCAGATCCTCGCTCAGCTCGAGGCAATGCAGGTTTCACAACAGACTATGCAAGCTAAAGTACGCGTCTCTTCTCTTTTTCTCGTTCATCTTCCATTTTTTGTCGATCTTTCTATCTTTCTTCTATATCTAATCCATCACCCATCTCATCTAATCACCTCTTCCCTCATCTATAGCTAGACGCACTGACAACCCAGACCGGCTCCTCCCCACTCGAGCCCACCGCACCCAAGCCGTTCGATGTCGCTGTGTCTCCACCTACTTCGCCGTCCAAGGTGCCGACTACTCCCCCCAATGTACCCACCTCTACCACGTCGGCGCCCACCATCTCAGCACCCACCGCTCCTGCAACCAAGGAGACAGCACCTCCGTCCGTTGGCGGCCTGACGAGTAGCGCACCCTCGCTGAGCACCCGGCCCACTGGCGTGTCAGATAAGGAGAGAGAGAGGCTGTTGTATCCAGGGAGGGTTAACTTGACCAGTAAGCATCTTCTCTCGTCTAGTGGACGCTTTGGTTCTCTGTTCGTTTTTTGTTTTCGCTCGCTCCCTCTAGCTTGCGTCCGAGCAGAGTGTACGTTCTCTACCTACCTGTCAATGGAGAGCGGGAGGATCTGGTGCGGAGCATAGACTCTTCATTCTCCTTCCAGGACGACCCCTTTCCTCAAGGCGATGCGGGTCTTACCCGCCATCCTTTCTGTTACCCTCGCGTCACCCGCCTTGTCTACCGATCCCTTGCGTCTGGCGTGCAGGTCGTACGTCGTACATCGAGTCCCGATGCAGTGTTATACGCATACTCTGGCACCATGCTCGTACTCCGGGCCGTTACGTTTGGCATTATTCACCTTCTCTTCGTTACTGGTTGTGGCTGTCAGTCGTCGCGTCTCTTTTGTCATTGAAGCTGCTGCTGCTCTTGCAACTTTACCTTATCTTTCCACTAACTCCTCCCCCAGCCTACCCAGACCAACATGGCATCAAGCCAGTCCCCCTCTCCTGGGGCGCCTCCGACCCATCCGTCCGTGGTCCAATAATCTGCTCCCGCCTCCCCTCCTCCATCAAAACCCGTAACGCCATCGGTGCCCACTCCGGGTCCTACTCCATCTACCGAGCCCTGTCCATCGCCATGGGCGCCCTGGACCCAACACACAAACCCGACTACAGCAACACCGAGCCCCCCGTCGATATCCCGCCCAACCCGGCATGGTTCGACGCGTCCAAGATCGTCTCCTTTGATCCGTGGGGTCACTTGGTCCCCTCTGTCTTCAATTCCCTATCATCTCCATCTGCAACATACCCCGCGGGCCTGGATATTCGTCCATCCATCGCTGTGACCAAAGCGCATCTGAAGATGAGCGAGCTGGACGATGCGGCGAGGAAGGGCGAGTTGAAGGTTGATGGGAGTATTGTGTTGCAGAGTAGGCCGATTAGGAGGGAAGATGGGAGTGTGGATGAGGAGGCGTTTGCTGGTGTGGAAGTGGCGACGAGTAAGGCGGCTGTGGAGCCAGTTTGGTATCTGCCTGGAGTGGCGGAGAGATTCGGGATGTAAGTATCAAAGTTTAGGTTTCATTTTCTCTCGTTTTTGGAGAGTCCTGGTGTTAGGCGGTGCTTCAGTGTTTTCCGCTACCTGCTGGTAGAGGTTACTATTTACCTACGTCAATCCTTCACCCCTTCAGTTTGTCTTTATTCCTTCCTCCTTCCTCCTTTCCTACCCCGAACCTTTAATAACCCTTCACACCCGCCACACAGATCCGAATCCCTCCTACGTCGCGCTCTGTTCGAAGACACAGGAGGAATGTACCCTGAACTTATTACCCGCCCGGACGTGAAGGTATTCTTGCCCCCGATTGGGGGTTTGACAGTGTATATCCGTGAGTTTGTCATTTTGGATTCGATTAAGAGATATAGATGGGTCCCTCGCTGCCGCCTTGGATGGGTGCCTGGTGTTGGCACTGACGGTGGTGGACCCGTCGCTGTCGTTGCCTTTGCAGCTGGCCTTGCTTAACATATCTTGGCTGGAATCTTTATTACTGTCGAAGACGTGCTCGTCATCATGTTGGCGTTCGGTTATTGGACACGACATGTCAAATACTCGAATATACCCACCCACTTCACTTTTCCTACTACCTTCCAACTGTGTTCGATTTCATAACTAAATCTTACTTCTCTATATAGTCAGTAACCCTGCCTGTATGCGCGACGAGACCAAGGAGCTGACTCTTCGTGTTCACGACGAATGTACGTTCTCCATTAGGCTCCCTTCTCATTCTCTCTCCCTATCCTCTCTGTCATCCCTGTCTCTTCCAACAAATTAATGCTCCTTCTATTAGGCAACGGCTCAGACGTCTTCGGATCGGACATATGCACATGCAAGCCTTACCTAACGTACGCCATCGAAGAGTGCATCCGCACCGCACAGAAGGGCGGTGTTGGTGTCGTGGTGTATTTCCGTAAGGAAGGGCGTGCGCTGGGAGAGGTTACGAAGTACGTTTGTTTGTTTCTTCCCTGTTCCTCCTGCATTCGTTTATATTTACCGCCATTACCTCTTCCTTCCTCCCTCCTATTTCTTGTCTATTCTCTTACTAAACCTTACTCTCACTTCATCAGGTATCTCGTCTACAACCTCCGAAAACGTGGAGGTGACTCGGCCGACAAGTACTTCAAGTCCACCGAGATGATTGCTGGAGTGAAGGATATGCGATTCCAGGCACTCATGCCTGACGTTCTGCATTGGATGGGCATTAAGAAGATCGACAATATGGTTTCGATGAGTGACATGTGCGTTTTTCTTCTTCATCCTTCTCTTTCATTATTCGTTGCTTTTGATTTTAGTGGATAAGATGGCTAATATGAATACGCATGATAGGAAATACGATGCTATAGTGAAGAGCGGTATTCCGATCTTGAAGCGGTATGATATCCCTGGTACGTCCCTTCCCATTTCTCCTTCCTTTCAGTAGGGCCTGACTACGACACTTGATAGACCACCTCATCCCTCCCGACTCGCGTGTCGAAATCGATGCCAAGATTGCCGCTGGGTACTTCTCAAGTGGGAAGCAA